AGCTTCAATTTTCGATAATAATTGTTTCTACTATTATTATTGATCTTTTTTCTAAGGATAATCCAATTGTCAAAATGTCTAGTAGGTGATGATGGTCCCATGCACGCAGGCCCTTCAGCTCTGGCCAGCAATTCAAACATGCCTTCATCTCCCAAAGTCTTAATTCTTGTAAATTTTTACTTGTCCAGTCGTCAAAGATGATAATATAAAGAAATTTTGATTATATTTTCCGTAAATATAATGAAATTATATTAAAAAAAATAGTCAACTCAAGTGCCCAAATAATGGTTATATAGATCAACCGGATTTTCAGTTAATGTTTACGGATTTTGATTATTACCGATGACTATGAAATGTGTGCCAAACCATATTTTTGTATGGTTTATTTCTAATTATTGTTATTATTCCCATACAATTTCTTAAAAAAAAAAAAGAAATACACTAAAATTTTAAACTCTTCTAGGAGAACTAAAATCACAAACAGCGCAATGATATTGTTCCAAGAATTAAAGCGCCAATATTGTGTGTGGTGATATTAATCGATACAATGATATACTATTTCTGGTTATTAATATAAGAGTTAGTTTGACATTTTATTAATTCTAAATATAAGATTCTAATTCACTTTGTCACTCATATTTATTCATTTTTTTAAGATAGTCATTGCAGTAGTTGTACATGTTAAATATTTCATCAAATGGTAATTATAACTAATAACACGATTAGTAAGAGTATTTTAAAAAAAGGCAACACCTATTTGTTACATGTAACTAACTTAACTAATTTTCATAATCTATTTAAATCGGTCAACTAGCTCTTATATTAAGGATTAGAGATAGTACTATTCAAACTAAATTTGGTAATATTAAATATCCGATAGTTATATATACAAAGGAATTAGTAAGTAGCATGATTTAAGTGGAAAAATTAATTAGTATAATTTCACTTTTCTATCTTGTCAAATGCCAATAATGCTCCATTAAGATTAAGATTACTATTAAATTTAGCAAACTTTACTACTAAATTAAATATTTATCGGCTGTTTATTTCTATTTTCCTTGCTGTTATTTTTCAACTTCCAACTGTCAAAGCATGCAAGCTGTCTGATCCGCCACTTTCCTCTTCGGCCATAACCCATCGTTTCTTGTGGATAACGGTAAGGGTGTTTCGGTAATTTTAATTACTTCTTCTGTTAAGAAAGAGAGATCATGTAGTACGCGCGCAAATCTGAGGTTCATTGCGGTACGGGAGAGACCTTGCAGGGTCTCTCGCGTGCCATTTCTCTCTCTCTCTCAAGCTTCTTCCTCTTCTCTCTATCTACTGAATCTCCATTTTCCTGCCATTGCATATTCTCCTCTGTTTCCTTCTTGATTATTTCGTTCTTTGGGTTTCCTTGTCTCTATCTTAAGATTAGTTTACTCATTAACCATTCTTGAATACTTCCCAGCCTCTCTGTTTCTTCTGGTTTTCTTGGGCTTTTTTTCTGTTAAGTTGTCTCGGCGCGACTTGAAGAAATAATTAAAGCCGTATTGCTTTCTCATTCTTGTGCCTTTCCTTATCTGCTTATTTGGGTGTCTTTAGATTGTTAGATACGAACATGCTTGACAAATTTTTGAAGCCGAAATTCTATAGAAAATGGTACAGCACTGACCCAGAGATGATGTCGAGTTTCTTCCATTTGATCAATGATGATGATTTTCTGTTTGTTTTTCTTAAACCCATTTTTTGGTTTTGATTTCGCTTTTGAAACAGCAAAACCCACCTGGACTGCACAAAGTCGAGACTAGAGACGATACGGAAGAAGAGGAAAGCAGTGCTGAAGTTTCTGAAGAATGACATTGCCGATCTTCTCAAGAATGGCCTTGACGACAGTGCATATGGACGAGTAATTTCCTTAACAATTTTCAACTAGATGGTTAATTGTTTGAGAATCTTGCTTTAATTATCTTATTCATAGATATTTGTACAGATATGCGATACACCACGATTCTTGCATTTTCACATTTTGTAGGTTGGCATCTTGAGCGAATATCGAACTCCCATGAAAAATGCAATCTTTCCTTTTGAAGTATCAATTCTTTGATAAACAATTATTTTTCCAGGCCATACTGTACAAAATTCGATCTTCTGATAATGAAGATGACCTGTTAGGCGACCATGTCATTTCTTAGCTTCAGATCTGTTTCACTGAGATTATACATCTCTTTGACATCTAATCTAATTGATTTACATGTGGGACCACATGTGGCCCTCTATACCATAGACAATGATGAGTTTATCAGGAAGGGGTAAAAGGAGTTAGGTGCAATGTAATTGCGTTGATCACGCTCTCTTTTATCATTCTCATAATCATTATGTGATTTTCATGTTCCAGAATTGTAATTCTCCGTTGATCTCTCGTCCATAAGGGGTTGGTGGGGTTAGATGAAGAGATCCAAAGCAAAAACAGAGGACAAATAGGACTGAGACTTTCTGAATATTTAATTGATTGTAATTATCCATTGATTCATAATAATGTGCGCATATGCACATTGTCAAATGTAAGCAACAATACATGTGCATGCAGAGGATATATATTGGAATATAATTACTAACCTTTTGTGCATTATGCAGGCTGAAGGGTTCTTGATCGAGGAAAACATGTCAGCTTGTTACGAACTCGTTGTGAAGTTCGTTGGGTGCGTATCAGATCATCTTCAAGTCCTTTCTAAGGAGAGGTATGCTGTTCTATATAATGACACCGTGCAAGGAGGATATAACTAATTGAAATAGCCGTATACTAAACACCATCTTAGCATTGCTTGATAGTTAATAATCTTGCCTCGTTTTAAACATGAAATTCTTTCCACTTGAACACATCTAATCAGTGTTAGTTTGCATAACGAATCTGTCAGCATGCAAAAGCTCCAAATCTTGCCACTTCAATTGAAAATAACCCACTTAATGCTGTAGTTAGTGTATGAAACTAGATTGATAAATGAGAAGTTTTCTTTTTTTTTTTTGGGGCCCCTCTTCCCCCTAATTTCTGCCCCTTTTCCTGAATTATATATTTCATGGACTGTCATATTTCTTTGGCATATAAGGTGTTTCCAGAAGTAACATTGTTATTAATTTTCTGAAGCAGTAATTGCCCTGACGAATGCAAGGAGGCTATACCGTCGTTGATATATGCTGCAGCGAGATTTGCTGAACTGCCAGAATTGCGGGATCTCAGAACTCTGTTCGAGGAGAAATTTGGGGATTCCCTTGAACCTTTTCTAAGTAAAGAGGTGAGACAATGACTCCACCTTTATTCAAGAAAATGTTGTTCTCTTGGGTATATTTTAGTTTTAATAATTGTTCTTTCTCAGTTTGTGGAGAAGTCGAGGCCACACCTACCAAAGAAATGAAGATTCAGATATTAAATGATATCGCACAAGAATTCTCTATAAAGTGGAATAGCAAGCCTATGGAGGAGAAACTCAATATGTCCTATTCATCACTTCAAGTAGGTCTTACTTTACATTAACTTGTTTGATTTCACCAATATGTTTACAACAAAATCATGAAATGAGGAATTACTGTGCAGTAATATACATTGAAGATGTCATATTTTTTAGATACATTAGAAGGATTTAAACCCTTGACATTTGTTTATATCCCACCCTACCCTTACCAACTGAGTTGAGTTAATATTAGGCGGCAAGGTGTTACATGTACTATATCAGACAGCTAAGAGAGCACATGCTCCTCACATGGTTTCTATAAAATGGAGCCTTCTTTTCTACAGCCAATCACTTAATGCAAGGAATCCTGCTTGTTGCAGGGCAGGCCAAGGCAGACGCCACTGAACTTGAAGTATACCAGTAATCAAGAAACATTGAGGCTCCAGAACAGTAGTGATGACGAAACAAGTACAGACACATCGTCCCAGGATTGCCCACGCTCAAGCTCACTAGGAAGTTTTACGGAGGATGAGCAAGATTATTCCAAGAAACCATCTCAACATAAGATTGTTCCTCCTCCTTGCGTCATACCAAAACTTGATGTTAAAGAGCAAGTTGCTCAAGAAAAGCCAAAACCTAAGTCAGTCAGAACCAGAGGTCCCAAAACACCACCTGCTTATCAAAAAACTGTTTCTGATATTGATTCAAGGGATGAAGAAGATAGGATAATGGACGGGCTTTTGATGCATTACAGTATGAAGAAATCCGCTTCTGAATCGAAGGGGCAGAAGCAGAACACAGTTAGGCACAAAAAATCAGATTCAGATGGACAGCTAACAAGAGGAGTATCCCTTCCTGCTCAACTCTCGACTTCTGTGGAACCAGAAATGCAAACTGAAGGAGCAAAGCATGTGCATCCTAAGTTACCAGATTATGATGACTTAACAGCTCGTCTTGCATCTATCAGAGGGAGATGAGAGACACAACACAGCTTACTTAACAGACATGAGAATTTTTTTCATTCTTTTTCTCTTTTCCTTTTTCACTGTCTGTGTATTTTTCTTATGTAAGCATTGGCATCCATCTGAAAATTTATAGTTTTTGGTATAACCAAGACGATCAGGCTCAGCAGATATTACTATATGCAGAGAAATGTTAATGATAATTTCTTTTATAACTTTACTGACACATGATGCAGTGTCCAGAAAAAGGGACAGAAGTAGTACTCATTCTTTTCATGGCTAACAATTTCGGTGCTTATCACCTAATGATAGATTGGAATATTCTAAATTGGGATTGGTCCGTTCAAAGAGGCTCAACTGAAGACTGCAAAAGTAAACCTACATTCTCATTTTTCTTCTTCTGTCAGTCACCTAACAGCTTTTTGTTTGTGTCTTATATTATTTATTAACGTAATAAAAAATTAATATACGTTATATATACTAATTCTCTGATGTATAATTTTCTGCATAGACCGTGTCTGACTCTGTGAGTCTCTGTCAATTGTCCCGCTGTCTTTTGTCTGCCTCTATTTACACAGCAAAACGGCGCCGTGAGGTTGCCCCTCGCTGTGTTTTCTTGTCCGCCTCTGACTTTACAGTTTGCAAGTTGCGACCTTTCTCTCTCTTTCTTCTCCAAAATTCCATAATCCCTCTCCGAGGCTTCATGATTAGTGAGCAAAGCTTGATATTCAGCACAGTGAGATGGGTTGTACACAGTCGAAGATCGAGAACGAAGAGGCAGTGGCTCGTTGCAAAGAACGCAAGCACTTCATGAAACAGGCTGTCTCAGCTCGTAACGCCTTCGCGGCTGCGCACACCTCCTACGCCACCTACCTTAAGAACACTGGTGCAGCTTTGAGTGACTTCATCCACGGGGAGGTTCAAAATCCTCAACCTGCTTCTGGTTCAGCCGATCTCCCCAGTAATGCTCCGATCACGGCGCCGATACCGCCGTTCGAGATCCCTCTGCCGCCTCCTCCTCTACCCAATTTCCCCCCTTCTCCTCTTCAGCGCGCTGCAACTATGCCTGAGATCATGATGACCAAGCCGGAGGCGAGCCCGGTGGGGACCATCATCGAGGAGGAGGAGGAGGCGAACGAGATGGAGAAGGAAGGATCTTTGAATGGTGGTTTGAAAAGAAGAGGAAGTAGCAGAAGAAGAAGTGGTAGTGGGCATGGTAGAATTGGGACTAAGGAGATGATGGAAGAGGCAGATCGGCCTCCTATGCCACCTCCATCTGCAAAACCAGAGCCTCAGGTGGAGACCCATCATCATACGATGATCGATCAGCCTCCACAGAATTCCCCCTGGGAATATTTCTTCTTTCCTTCAATGGAAAATGTGCCTGGGACGAGCTTGAGAGGGGAAGACGAAGATGGTTTAAGTAAGGAGGATAATGAGAAGACGACATTTGATGAAAAGCCTAATAGGCTGGAAGAAGATGTTGAACAGAGTATTGGCAATGAGAAGGATGAGATGCCCGAGCCTGAAGCAGAACCTGAACGTAAGCCAGAGAAAGTGGTGGAGCCACCTCAGCCGCCCGTAGCTTTGGCGGCACCGGTGGGAAAAGGCTTGAACAAGGGGAAGCAAGGGCAGGGTTCAATGGAGGGGAAGAGGATTGTAAATTTCAATCTGGTGCACATATTTACTGAACTTGATGACGATTTTCTAAAGGCTTCGGAAAGTGCTCATGAGGTTTCGAAGATGCTTGAGGCAACACGGCTGCACTATCACTCGAATTTTGCTGATAATAGAGGTAATTATCATGGTAGCCTTGGTTCTGCATTGACAGTTCTTTGTTAAGTGTTTCTGGGCTTCAAATGAACAAAAGATGAAGTTATTCGGTCATGCTTTTTCTTATCAAAGTATACATATGCAGAGAAATCTTAGTTGAAAAGTCAAGCGTTCTGGTTTGACCCTTTTTCTCTTTTCTTGAATTTGTATAGGACATATTGATCACTCTGCAAGGGTGATGAAAGTTATTACATGGAATCGGTCCTTTAAAGGAATGCCGCCTAATATTCTTGATGACGGGCCGGATGATTTTGACTATGATGAGAATGAAACTCATGCCACTATCTTGGACAAATTGCTAGCATGGGAAAAGAAACTATACGATGAAGTTAAGGTAAGTTGTCTTGTTTAACAATGAGTATTATTGTCAAATGTCAATTGATAAATTGATAAAGTCTTACCTGCTATCTTTTCATTTTGAATTTGAACAATTTTCCACATACTCGGTCACCTAACATTGACATGGCATCATCAAGTATAAGCTCTCACTCTGCAAATTGTTGATTCACAACTCTTGATGTAGCGAGACGATATTATTACTTTTTACTATTCTGTCACAAACCTGTAAATGCACATCATTGCTACGCAAAGTTTCTTCTACTAATGTCTTCTTGTCTTGTTCCTATCATGAGCGGTGCGAATTTCAGTTAATTCTGGGTTTACAATGCTGTCATACATATTTCTTGTTCTATTCAGAATGTTACGGCTGAATATTTTTTGATAGGCAGGTGAACTTATGAAATTTGATTACCAAAGAAAGGTTGCCTCACTTAACAAGCTAAAGAAAAGGGGAATCAACACTGAAGCACTGGAGAAAGCAAAAGCATCTGTCAGCCATTTGCATACAAGATATATTGTAGATATGCAGTCCTTGGATTCGACAGTCTCGGAAATTAACAGTTTACGTGATGACCAGTTATACCCAAGGCTTGTTAATCTTGTTGATGGGTAAGTTATATTGTAGAAATTGGAATGGTTAGTACATATATATGGCTGGTATTTTGAGTTTCCGACCTTATATAGAATATATCTCACCAGACATGAACGGGTTGAATTTAGTGTCTGCTAATTTTAGGAGCTGAAAACTCAAGTAAATATTTCTGTTTTGATATTATGCTTTTGCTATCTACCAACTTTGTGGATGGTGCATTACATACCGCATTTAAAATATCTATCCATCACCTTAGAGACACAGTTCATCCAACATTAATTTTTATAGTTGATTGTGGTCTACTACGTATATGAATACTGGGGGAAAGCGGCTTTGACTATCTAAAGATGGGTTTTCTCTTTCTGACAATAAAGATTCAAAATTGATTTCTTCTGCTTTTATTTTCACATCTTTAAAATGCCAGTTTATTCTAATATTGGTTTATATTGGCCTTTAGCAAACTGGTATCAATTCTTTCTTTATAAATGTTTGTATATTGTTCTACATGTCACATATCATATATTGTATTGCAACCTTGTAATTGATCTTTGAGGAAAACTGAATCTCTAGGAGAAATGAGTGTTCCATCTTTCTTGCTGGAAAGCTGTTTTGTTTAGTTATCCCATGGTAACTTGTTCCCCAGAAAGTGTATATCCATCTGTACAAACACTTGCACGCTGACTTCTCTGCAAATATTGGTGGTTCTTGATGATACTACAGGATGGCCAGTATGTGGAAAACCATGCACGATCGCCATGAGAAGCAGTCTAAAATCGTGATGTTATTGAAAGCTCTGGATTCCGAGTCACCTAGTGAAACAAGTGAGCAGCATCATGACCGAACATACCAGCTATTGGCTGTTGCGAAAGGGTGGTGCTCACAGTTTGAGAAGTTGGTAACCCATCAAAAGGGGTACATAAAGGCCCTAAACAATTGGTTAAAACTAAATCTTATACCTATTGAAAGCAATTTGAAGGAGAAGGTTTCGTCACCTCCAAGAGTTAGAAATCCCCCTATACAAAGGCTCATTTATGCCTGGCAAGACCATCTGGAGAGGCTTCCCGAAGAGATTGCCAGAACAGCTATATCCAATTTTGCTGACATGGTAGAATCAATTTTTGAGCTTCAACGAGAGGAGATGGTTTTGAAAAGAAAGTGTGAAGAATCACGGAAGGAGCTTGCTCGCAAAACCAAGCAATATGAAGATTGGTATCACAAGTACCTTCAAAGGAAAATACCGGATGAGCCTGATCCAGACAGGCGAGAATCTGCCAATGCTATTGATGAGATTGTTGTAGAGAAGCAATTCTTGGTTGAACAAGTGAATAAGAGGTTGGAAGATGAGGAAGATGCCTATGCAAGGTGCTGCATTCAGGTGAGGCAAAAATCTCTAGGGAGTCTCAAAAATCGCTTGCCGGAGCTCTTTAGGGCCATGTCAGATTTTGCTCTTGAATGTTCCCGAATGTACAGCGATTTGAGGTCTACATCGCAGAACCTAAACTCAGGCCAAACCTTATCATGAGCCATGTGCTTGTGTATTTTGTATTTATTTTATTTAATTTTCCTCTGCAGAGTATAATATTTTTTTGGGTTGTGTTGTATAATACTTCCTTTGTATTTTCCTGATTGATGAGGCAAGAAAATTCTACTGTTAAATAAACTCAGTCGAATAGCCTATGCAAATTGACAGAACATACTTATATTTTTCGGCATCTTCACCACCAGTAAAGTATGTGCATTTATTTATCTTTAGAGTTTTGGAAGAAATTGCCAGTGTTAAGAAGATAACGCCACAAATGGCCCTCTCAATTTGTACGGATCTTGAACTAGATTTGAATAAAGGAGAGCAGTTGAGGATTTCAATAGGACTAGTATTGAAAGAAAACTATATGAACAATCAGAAAGTGCATATAATAGCTCGAAAGAAAACTGTAGGAAGAAGAGTCCAAATCAGAAGTAAATTACAAGAAATAAAAAACCCTCCTCTGGAGGAGTTCAAGATATTTAGAAAATGATGTATCTCGCATGAAAGTGAGGGGACCGTGATGATGATACCACTTGATCTACGTAGGAATATCGCTCATGCTGAGCAACAAAAAAGTTTTCTTCTATCTTGAACATTGTTAAGATTCACCCCAGTAGGTTTTGGTGGCAAGACTCTTGCTAGTCTCTTTGCTGCATTGAGCATTTGGGGGGGGGGGGGGGACATTAACCGTTAACACTACTGCTGTATGCTCAGAAAATAACTCTTTAAGCAAAATACATTACATTGTTTAAAAGACTTTCAGCATGTACCTATTTCATAGAAAAGCTCATTGATGTTCACTGCAGTCAAAGCAGATGTTTCCATGTAGAACATTCCGTTCTCTTGAGCAAATTCCTCCCCTTCCTGAAATAATGTTTAACCAAAGAGAGAAAATAACACTTAAAAGGAGAATTTAATCGAGAAACAAATAGTTGAAACCAAGATGTTTGTATTCATTCTGTAGCAGGCTGCAATTATCTGTCTACAAATGTCAAGAGAGGTTATGCTGCAGAACAGACTGCATATTCAAAAGCTACTGATTGTGATATGTTCTCAAATGGGTAGTAAGTGAAAGGAACAGAGAAAACCATGCATTTCATAAAAAGTAAGTGAGGAACAAAGTGGGAAGAAGTTCTTAATGGTACCTCATATTCAACCTCCCTTGTTTGTTCCAAGTCAGATTTATTTGCCACCAAAGCCATCACCAACTTTTGACTTCCTACAAAGAGGAGTTTTAGTTTGCTATAGAGAGACATGTTCTAAATGTTTGTATAAGGAACTTGCATCATTCATCAAATTCAGGCAAAGAAGGAAACAAGAATAGGAGTATATTATTTTCAAGAAATCATAAGTCAAAATGAACAAATGAATTTGTAACTCATGAGATATAGGCGATCGCTTATTTTTATTGGACCTGCACCTTGTTTCATGGATAGGACATTTTATTTCAGCGACAAGTAAATATTTAGGTAATTATCCCAAAATTCTCACTGCTCATGCAGAAATCTAGGATTCTGCTAATGGCCAACAAGTGAATAGAGAAAATGTTGAATTACCGTGTCTTTGCAATTCACGAACCCATTTTTTGGCTCGAACAAATGTATCCTGAGAGGGAAAAGAGCAACCTAATTATTAATTACAGTTAAAAATGAATTTAAGATTCATGTGACTACTCAAGCAGGATTCATCAGTTTCCCTTTTCTTTTTGCTTAGTCAGAGTGAATGTACTGATAACAACTATAGCAAGTTTTGCCTCTATTCACCATAAAGAATGTTCATAGGAGGCAGAGCTGGAGGAATCATCGCATGTTCTTTATCAATCATTATAAAAATTTCAAACAATATTGCAATTAAGCTGCAAGCATTGTATAATTGAGGAGACCATGTTTTAGAGATATGCCTATACAACAAAAATATCATGTGGTCCCCTACTATACAGCTTAAGATTTCAACTTGAAGTGATCTTCGACACCATCAGAAACACTAGTAAATCAAACAATCACTGGATTTCTTAATCCTTTCAAACTTAATAAGTCCATATACTTACAACACTCGACAAATCATACACAACAATGGCGGCGGCTGCTCCACGGTAATACATAGGAGCCAAGCTGTGATATCTTTCTTGTCCTGCTGTGTCCCATATGTCAAACTTTACAGTAGCTTCAGACAGTGACAATATTTGAGTGAAAAATGCAGCTCCAATGGTAGGTTCCTGTAATTAGATCACTCTCAGATTCCTTAAATTGGTGCACTAGTTTTGCAGCATTAGTAAAGAAAGCAACTTTGGACTTGAAGAAAACTTAGAAGAACCAACCTGGTTATGGAAGAATTGGCCTTTTACAAATCTTAACACTAAACTGGTCTTGCCAGTCCCCATATCCCCAAGAAGCACCTACAAGAAGAAACAGAAAAGAGAATAGTGCATAATCATGGAGGGACTGAGCTCTATGAAATGACTAAACAGCAAACAACTGTAAATTCTACATTCTAAGATTGTCCTCTCCTATGATTTTTTATTGCAATCAGACTTCGAGATGCTATAAAAGATGTATCTAAAGATTTACTCTGTTTACTGCACTAATCAAATCTTTTCTGTTAACTCATTCAGTAATACTAATCTTTTCATACAGATTCTACTCCATAATGATTGCTTCAGGGCCAGGAACAAGGGATTATGAACAGGTATAGGGATCCAAGAACGAGACTGATACATGAGACCAAAAAAAAAAAAAACTGGGAAATAATTTAAGGTAAGACATACCCACCAGCTTGGCTTGAATGATCTTATTCCCAGGCCTGGACATGTTTTTCGCTAGGTTGATCAGAGATTTTGCAGAAGCATAAGAAAGACGCTAGGATGAAGGAGAGTGTTATAGATCAAAGAAACCAAAAGCGAGACTGTCGTTTGGGCACGTGATGCAGAACAAGGAAAGAGAAGACTGGTAGTTTTGTTTGGTTTTGACCGTTAGTTACTCCAAATTTATTCATGGATCTTAACTGTGGGATTGCTTCCATACTCATCCTGGGGTTCTCTTACCCATTAAAAGCTTATATGCATGCCAATGTCTCAGCTTGGGATCTTGTGGGACCTGTTAACTGCCATTATGTCCTACTTTGAGTTATGGCAGAAGACAAAAAATATCCGCCTCCTTATATAAGCATAGCGGAGGAAACCATCTCTGACTAGTGGTCACCCAAATAATAATAATAATAACAAGTAATACGGTGTGGAGAATATGAATGAATTGTCTTTAGGTTTGTTTATGGGGTTGATCACATTTAGTTCCTTTTTAAAAAGTTCATTAATGACTATTTTGATCCCTACTTTTAAAAAATAATAATAATAATAATAATGTAAGTAGTAAGTTGTTTCAGTGACAGTACCATCTGTCATGTTTGGATGAGATTCTAGACTTGAGTATGATGCTGACATGTTTGTGTGCGTAAACATGTCTTTTATATTTGATATCTCATTTTCATCGACTCAACCGTTAGTTAACCGTTAAATTTGATTTTTAAACATTTATTTTGGACCAAAACACCCCTCTTATACATAAGAATTATTTAAACATTTATATTTCCCAAAATTTTTTTTTTGGACTGAATATATCTTCGTAATTTAATGGGAGTTTTCAGAACAAGAAGATCACAAAGCAGCCAGCTCGGCTGTTCCCCTTCTCTGATTGATCTTAATCTTTGATTTGATTAACAAATCAAGGAAACACTTTCAACCCATTGTTACCACATGACAAAGTAGCTTGAAACCCTTGCAACTGTTCAATGATTAAGTTCTTCTTAAATAGGTTGAGAGCTTAAACCTTATATCAAATATAATCCTCGATTTTAGCCTTAGTATATCGGATGTCATATAATTGTCTAGACAGTTGCAAAACCCAGATGACCTTACGGCGGGAGAGCTATTAGTCTGCTTAGGAATATGGATCAGAATGACTGATATATCTGTAAATATAACTGTAAAAAAGAAAAGTAACAGAAAAGGGAGATAAAGATAACCATTAAGGGTGAGGTCCACATGGTTCCTGCTCAAGGCCATCTCTGTCTCTTAAGCAAATTGAAGGGATATTCGTAATTCAGATTTTACCCTTTGAATAGTCTTTTTCCCCACCCGTTACGTGCATCACAGAAGTGTCCAATATACCAGAAAGCAGAAAGGATAATAAAGATGAAAGGACCAAAAGGTGTGTTTCAAACTTCCAAATTCCATCCAGTGGCACCATCCTGCAAAATCATGTTAGACCGCACTTTTTATTTTTTTGCAAGGGTTTATGATTAGCCAAGCAATTACTTGTTTAGCTTGTTGCTTACAAACGATGATATCAATTATTGAGTTAATACAAATTTCGATCTTTCAAGTTTAGTTTCATTTTAATTTTAGTTTTTAAATTTTAAACATAAGTTTTAGTCTCTCATAATAAAAACTTATACTATTTTACAAATTTGAGAGGAACTAAACCACAGATTATATTAACTCAGATCCTTTTTTTATTTTATGCTTGATTATTTGAAACGGAATCTTTATTATTTCAAGCTCAAGGCAATTTTCACTTTGTTAGATGAAGTTTTGTGAACCCAGCAGATCCATTCCAACGTACACTTTAAGCAAAAGAAACAGTGACAGTAAGAATACAAACACACCATAGAACAGAGAGATTGAGAGAATCACAAAGGAGGAAACCCCCACCCCAATTTCCCACACAAAGACAAAACACACGAAACAGCATCCAAAGTAAATCCTCCCCATATAATTCATCCATGAGCTTAAAATTCTTAAAAATCAAAACTTTCTTTCTTCCTTAAATTCCCCTTTTATCCTCCCGAGCCCTCTTTCCTTGCAATATCCATATCTCCGGAATCACAAGCTTTTTAGGTTCTTTCAGCCATGGGAGCTTCAAAGGCAATCCGCTACGTCCTCCTTCGTCCTTTTCAACAGAAATACCAAAACGACGTCGTTTTAGCCTTCTACACCTCCTCCGCGGCCCGCCGTCAACGCGTCATTGCCTGGGCCGTCGGAGTCGTCCTACTCCTGGGGCTCGTGTTCATTTGCTGGCCGTCCGGTCCGGTCCTGAAGATCGAACGGCTAAAGCTGAACCGGATCAAGGTGCACACATTGCCGCGGCTGACGGTGGACATATCGATGTTGGTGAGAGTAAGGGTTCACAACGGCGGCGT